ATTTCACTTCACTAATGTTAGAAAAACAAACCTGAGGACACATCACACACGTGTCGTTAATGTTATTATGAGTGGTTTATACAGTTGAACCTCTCCACAACGGTTACTTTAGGGACAGAAGAAAGTGGCCGTTGTTGAGAGGTTTAAACAAGAGGCAATGACTGTCCGTCTAAAAAGTGGCCGTTGTAGAGAGGTAACCGTTAGTGGAGGATAAGGCTTTCAATCTCACTTGATTCCTAAACAGCCATATTTATTTCGCAGGATCTGAAGACAAATAAAAACATGACCCGCGACTTCTGACTGGGATCTCCAATCCTTTCAATGGTGCTTGTTCTTTTGGGGTCGCGAAAAAGGACCCTGTCATTAGGCAGGTTTAGTATCATGGGATGTGCGAAATAGGTTCTGGCATGAAACACGTATGGCGAACAAAAAAGAATAAAAGCTATTGAGATTGACATATTTCAACTAGAAGAAACAGAACATTGAGAAGAGTTCTACTACATACTGGGTTATCTTGGCATAATACTCTCTGAAAACATCACACACGTCGCAGCCTGTAAAGTACGATTCTCCGAATCGTTTCAGGTAATAACAAACTTTACAAGCTTATTTCCAAAAATTCAGCTAGGCTATAATTTCACGAGAAATAGAAATCAAGGTGTCACCATATGTGTGGCATAACCAACTGTACATGCGAGTGATGTCCTTTTAAAACGGGTAATCGAATCTAAAGACGAGAACATAAAAGGCTTTAAGGCCTGGAGCTGGAAAAAGCGGGACTTCATAAGGCAATTTAAGAACAAAATATGTACAAATTTTTAATGTGCAGCCGTCTTAGCTATTTTCTCATGAGGCAAACGCAGAAACTTTCTACCAGCAAACGGAAATACGACCGCTGCAAGAACCCGACCCGCTCTGCCAAGGAAAAACGACCACATCAGTGTAATGCTGCATTGTAAAACAAAGAGGATATTCTGTAAAGGAAAATTTTAGCTATAAAATTCGCTCGTGAGCCATTGTCACCAAATTATCGATTTTTTATATTCCCGCGTAAAATCGTACAATATTTTAACCTTAATTGTTGACTATTCTCGAGTTCCTTTTGCGCAATTGTGCATTTTAGTAGGTAGGATTTTGACGGTTACTAGATTCATTTTGCATCTGTTAATGAAACGTTCACAGCAATTTTTGCTTACATTCTGGGCCAATGAATACACAGTTTTGCGACAATTTCCTGCGACAACTACTTGCTGATGTACATGTTTGTGGACATTTTCTCACCAATGGCCACCGATGCAAGACGTGGGCAGAAATATTCGTTGCCAGAATGTTCCGCCGAGCTTCTGCACTAGGAGATAAGACGCCAACGGAAATCTCCGCCAGTGGAGAACTCAAAAGACGAAAATTTTTGCCCTTACTTTCAATATGTCAGTAAATGTATAAAATTTCTACATTTACTTATTTGTTTATTTGTAAGTAAAATGTTGAGAGAAGCTAGCTATCGCTGAAGTTTCCATCCTCATTTTTTTCTTTTTTTCGTCAATTTCAAATTTACCCTTCCCCCAGTGTTTTTCTCCCAAAACAAAATTTTTCGAGCAAAATTGAGAAATTTTGAATCTAATCAATGCCGCCAGATTGAAAAAAAAACTGCTAAAATATCTGAAGAAAGGAAATTTGGCCGTAGTGCCTTCTTATTTTTGCGTCATGAAGAATAAAATGCACTCATTTTGACTGGTAGAAAGAGAACAATGCTAGGGGTAAAGTTGTTAATTACAGTAATCTATAGGCGCCTGAGCTGGCGAATCGGTGAAATTGAGAGTTCTGGAGATTTCCAAATTAAGGGATAGGTGGAGCAATTTGACAGGGACCCTTTTTTGGCTAACTTTTATTGATAGTTTTTCACATTATAACAAAGTCCTCTAACACGTTTCAGCTTGAACAGAAAAACCATGATGTAAGCTGATTAAGGCAGGGTCAGTGGAGGCAATTTTCCGCCAATTTTTGCTTCAGCAGCTTTGTACAAGGTTATAACAACAGTTTTCGAAACTCGTTTCAACTCGAACAGATTATCAGGATCTAAGTTGATCTAAGCAGGGTCAATGCTGGCAATTTTCCGACAATTTTTCCTTTAGTGGCTTTGTATGATGTTAAAGCACTTTTTCGAAACTTGTTTCATCTTGAAAAGACAGATCAAGATCTAAGCTAACAGAACAGTTCTAGTATGACTGCACTTTTCGGTAAAAAGGAATAAGTTTGAGAGGGAATTAAATACACCTTTCCTTCTTACTGACTAATTGATTCTAAGAGAATTTTGTGAAGATTTTGTTTCTAAATTAGACTTGGATTACACCCGAACTCAGCTGTGGGACCACTTAATATTAAGTGGGCCAACCAGGCGCACCCGACTTAGGCGGTTTGCAAGCCAATCAAAAATAAGAACATAGTGAAATGTACAAATGTCGGTGACCTGGTTGGGTTCACCGCACAGCAAAACTCAGAGATAATCTAACAGAGATTATGCTGCTACTCTGAACAAAGTGCAGTTTTCTTACCAAACTGAGGATCCTTGGTGTCATTGTAAAATAGGATAGACGCCTTAACGTTTATCACAATTTACAATCCTCATGTGCCGAATCGTAAAACTATTTTCACGAAACAGTTGTGCGTCAATCAGTGTAAACAGGACTAGTTGATGTTTTATTCGGTGATGTGTTACTAGCATTTTGTCAAAACGATAAAGTCGTTGTATAACTTTAAATTTAAGCATCTTATACTCGTTGCAATGTTCTCTATTTACAAGAACTTAAATGCAGGCTGAATAGGCCATTTCCGAGTTCCAAAATTTCTTACTTTCAAAACAAAGCTAAGTCTTAATGCAAAATCGTCGTAATGAAAATGAGATTTATTTGCATGGGAAGAAAAAATCATTTTCATATTAATGGCTTTTCACTTAGCCTCGCTTTGAAACAGAGGCTTGGGACATCTTTGAATCAGCCTATTTGACCCTAAAGGAAACAGAAAAATGTAGATGTCAGCCGGGTTGGGAGTCAGCGCCACACAGTCCCAAGGTGATACGGTAGGATACAGGCGTGTAGATGTGTACCTCAGACGTTCTCTAAAAGAATCGAATAGCGCTGCCTATAGTTAGACAAAGAGGAAATCACTGGCTGTACCATGGGAGGAGATGTATCCGACGACCGACGAAAGTTGGTCAACGTGTCGACTGACCGCTGGCCGCTGATCATGCACCATCTATAACAATGACCTTTAGATTCTAAGACGAGGACGATTTTCTCTATTCTTTATTGCTCACGGGTGAACCAGCGTCACTTTGGCGGGAAAACGTGATAGCCGTGGTCATTCTATTACGAGTTTTAGCAAGAATGTCGTGGTAACGGAAACAAGTTATAAAATGTTAAAGGTTTTATCATTTCGCGGCTGGGAGATGGCTTAAGCTCCTTTAGTGAGGATAACAGTGCCAATTTTTTGGTGAAAAAGAAGTGCAATGAAACTTTCCGGGATGTCTATCATTTGAGAATACGCGAAAAAACTTTAAGTCAAATCTCGTACTCGTTGTCGTTCTCGTCCTAGAATCTAAAGGTCTCTATTAACCAGTTCAATCCTCATGCGCGTTAAGAGGTGAACCCTTGGGCAGCGAGAATACCAAGTGGCCACGGTGCACAGAAAGTGGGAAAAATATTCAGCATATTACATACCACGTACAAGCTGAGAAAGCACCAGCGACTACCAGCCGGCAAGAAAGGATAGCAGACGATTTTGTAGATTAAATGCATTGCCATTTCGTCAGCACTAAAGGCCTTGATGCTAGATCATGTATACTCTGCAACTTGAAAAGAAGCTACCAAAAGAAAATATAATGTTGAAACCTCCACAACAAAGCATGTCTGACCTACTGCACTAGCGGCAAAAACAACTGCCAACACAAAGTTCCTCCTGTGCAAGTGTGTTAATCTAGTTGCTAGTCTAGACAGAAGGTACTGTTCCAAGCAGTGCTATGAAGGAACAGCAGGAGAGCTGTTTGGGACAGGGAAATTTGCCTGCATTAGATATTTTCAGCGAATTGGAATAAACGCGACAAAGTTGAAAAAAAAACGCCAATTCATTTTAAAAGTGACGTTTTCGCTTTCGTCGCCGTCGTCTATTCTAACAGTCCCCAACGTTAAGTAGATCAGCCTTTGCAAATGAAAACATCAATAAAGAAATTCCCTACCATCCTTTACAGCAGACAGTAATGTGGAAGGAATTTTTTACCAAAATCGGACGTTAAGGAAACTTTCGGGTTTTGTTTTGCTATAATATGTTAGAATTGAAAGGGAAATGCAGGGCATCATTCTTGCTTTAGTTAGATTAAAACCTGGTATATTATTTCCATACCTTTCTAGTCAATGATACTCACGGTTTATCAAATGAATTTGATAAAAGTTGCTATCTTGAACATTTCGTATTCGAAGATTAAAACCTGAGTGAAAATTTTGCTAACCTCTTACTTTTTTATATTTATAGAGTACTTAGTTGGGAATGGAGAGCACAACAGTTCTACTAGCCTTGCTTGCCCTGACTCTTTGTAAGTATTAAAATCTAGTTTTAATTATGTTAAAATGTTCATAACCTCAGAGCGGTCGCTTAAAGGGTGAGGAGAAGCGCATCTGGTTCAGAATCGTTTTGTAAGAAGAGCCGTCCAAGGCTGTCTAGAGAACTTTTTTCGGTCAACCTCGTTTTCTGAAAACATATTAAATCCAGGCTACGAGCTGAGAAAACTGAAAATCGTAATAAAGATAATTTCATAGGCTTTAATATTGCAAGATCAGGTTTAACTCAGTACGTAAGAGCTTTGTGAGGATAAACAGTTTCCTTTGAATTTTTCGCCTTTGGGCTTGCCATAATCTGACTGTATTTTTTACACATTTTATCAATTTTTTTTAAAATAAGTTTCATATTCTACTTAACCTGAGACCAATTTATGTTGTATTACAGCACACATGATTGTTGGAGTGAATGCTGGTGAGTACTTATAGGAAAATTCAATCCACAAATTTATCGTTACTATTAATACAAGATACAGTTATTGTTAGATATAACGACCGGTTGAATGGCTGAGATACATCTAATACTGCCTATAGCCCTCAATATCCAATATATCTTTCATTTCCAGATTAAGCACTTTAAACCTAGCCTGATTCTCAGACGCTCCAGGTTGCTCGCGGTCACGCACTATTTCCAGTCCACCGCGAGCGACCTGGAGAATCAGAATCAGGATCAGGCTACTTTAGGCCCCGATTTGATTCGTTATAGTCAATAGTGTACACGTACAGCGGTGTCACCGCCGCATTCTCCTGTAAGCTTGTGGTACATAATGAGCAGTCTGGTAGCCTTTTTCTCATGAAAGATACAGACCTGTGAGAGAAGAGGAAAGGAAGAAAGGAACAAATGAACCTGATCCGAAGGAGGCGCCGTGAAACAGAGAACGGGCAATAAGAAGGACGGCGTGATGCCATTAAAATCACCCACGTGTCAGTCTATCGAAATTATTATCAATTCACTGTGACTTTATTTTACTCCTTTTAATGCTTGCTTGAGTGTGACTTCTTAAGTAACGTATTAAGTGTAACCACTGCGACATTTATTGTAAACAGTAAGCCCCAAGGGTAATCTTTTTCCCGCCCATAGTGAATTGTCATTATGCTCGTCATAGTTTTATGTAAAGAAAATAAGTCACGTTCCGGTTTTAAGGGGTTTCTAAGGCTTGAATATACCATTTTCCAACTAATTATTCTTCATTATTATGAATACAGTCGTTGATAATTAAAGAGCCTAACCAGTATTGTGGGAAGTGGTGAGTTTGAATCCCGTCGGGCTTTCAGGCCGCAGTCACTTAAGCTGGATAGCCTTATATCCACCGGGTAAATTACTATCCAGTAGGAAAAACCAATTGCGCTATCCGGTGGAAAACATTATCCAACTTTTATGCTGAGGCCAGTTTAGTTTTTTCTCCCACGTAGAGCGATGAGACTGTTTTATCTTTCCCGAAACGAAAGTTGTTATTACGTCTTCTAGCATGTCCAAATATGCAAGTCCTCCGAGGGTCGTCAGGTGTCATCACAAGTCCTTATTACCCCAGCAATTATCACAATGGCCATAGTTGCACCTGGAAAATCACTGGACGATCGGGAGACCGAGTCAAGTTGGTCATTCAGGATGCGCAAATAGAAGGTTGTCCATGGGACTATATAGTAATTAGCAATGGTTACGTACAGAGCAGCGGTTTAAATCCTGGGACAATATGTTCGTCACTCGGCAGACCAATGACTATTATTTCATCCGGTGAAACCCTAACAGTGCATTTCCGCACTGATGGCAGTGTAACACGCCGTGGATTTAGGGCAATCTACACAATACTACGTAACGGTAAGTGATAACAGCCCTTTCTGATCTGCTTTGAAGGTAAAGAGTCCTTATTTAACGTCGGTAGCTGGAAATAGTCACCTGGGCCTGGTCCCTGAAAGGCCTATTATCGTTAATTCACGATTAAAATTATGTTCCGTTTTTGTATTTTACATTCTTATGTATTTCTTAGGGTAACATTTTGTGTTATCATCACTGTATCTCGTAGTTAAGGCTCAACGGTATTTTGTAACCTCGAGTTGCATGTTATTAGAAGAGAAAACTGTTCTTGCATTGAAAGTTGGCTTAATCCTGGGTTAAACTAGACCATCTTTCGAGAAACCGGGCCCTGACTAACAAACCTGGGGGCGGCGGTGCGTTCATTTTACCCACCCCCCCCCTTCTCTCCATCATTTAGATCTTACTTTCTAAGTGACTGTCGTGCGCATTTGAACATTTTTATGGAAAATTACGCAATTAAAAGGTGTTATTATTATTATTATTATTATTTATAATAATGAATTACTTTGAGGCAGGCAACGACTTTCCAAATAGAATTGGAATTTTGATGGCTCTTTTGAAGTTCAGAGGGAACGTGTTCCATCCCACGCTTGACCTCCTGACGGAAAAACTGACCTGCATTCCAGTGAAGCCGATATTTGTTTTAATGGCGCTTTTGTGCCACTTGTCCCGACTACTCCTTAGTTGTCCAATCTCAGGTGCATGATGTATGGATTTGGCCTTGCCTTTATCTTACTCGCCTTATTGGTGAGTGATAAGTAAGTAGAGAATTGAACTCACGAACTTGGTCGTCTAAATCATCAGCTAGGTGAAATGGAGCACTAGCCAATTCCTCAAAAAATTTAGCATAAGTATAATTGTTATAGTTTCTTGCGGTGATGCATGAGCAACGCGGCTTAGGTGCTTTCAGCTTTAACTTTTCTTTGACCTGGGTGGATTATTTACGGTATCAAATTAAGAGAAGAACAAAAATTTGACAAGGTACGACCGTCACCAATTATAATGTCTTCCATGTCCACCATTAGTCCACAAAAGCTTTTTCAGGTCTTCAAGAAAGCCTTTAGGCACATTTGGAAGTCTACTGACTGTGCACAGAAGGAATGATTTTAGCTTTCTGTACTGTACCTATAACCAGAGTTGTTGGTAGTTAGAGTCGGAAACTGCTGAATATTCTGTAACAATACATACTTTGTAAACATCAGTTCCACCACCAGTCTTATGCATTACGCGGTCCTGTCTGAAGAGAACTTAACCAGGAATATGCATGTCAGTGTCACTAGTCGAACGGTTCGGCCAAGCCTCCGAGACTGTAAAAGTATCAAAATCATTCGAAGACGTCGTCTGGGTGGTGAGATGGAAATTATCATGCGATACCATCAAGCGAACATTCAATGGGCAATGGTAACACGTTTTTAGATAGGAACCTATCGGCTACTGTGCTATCTGATCGTAGCCATTCACGCTTCAATCTGCAGTCTCAATTCCACTGTCTCTGTTGTCGATGTTGTTAGGGCGAATTTTATAGACCACCTCATCAAAATTTCGTGGGTCAGTAGCTTTCTTCTTCCGCACTAAGTGTGATCTAACTGTTTGTAGCAAACAACGGGGAAGTTTAAACAGCCTTTTGACGTATGACAGAATTGCTATATATTTAATTTTCGGGGGGTTGGAAGGGGGTTTGGGTTTAGGGTGGGTTGAAATCCGAGAGCCAGTGAACTTATAAAGAACCCAAGTCCATGACGCCTCGCTGACTACGATTAAAAATGCTGCTAGAAGATTCTTTTTCTTGACCACGCATTAGCGAGGTTATGCATTTAGTTTTGCTGATCCTTGCAAAACGCAGGACTTATTTAACCTAGTAAACAGAGAATGAACTGAGTCTTTTATTGTTTTTCAAAGTTGGTAAGGTAGTACGCAAGCAAGCGGTAAAGCGATGCGACTATGAAAAGCGAGGACGGCAATTCGAGGGGAAAATGTGAGGCTGGTCCCAAATCCAGAGTTAATAACTATGCGTTAAATGGGTTTATGTGCCTTTCCCGTCTCTTCGCGAGCATTGGCTATTTTCAACTCTTGACTGTTTTTTGTTCGCGACAGACCAGGAAAAAAGAGAGACTTGTTCTCTAGTATTTGTCTTGCCTAGATAGCCAATAGACGGAAATTTAGATGCATGACCACAAAAATCTGTGTAAAACGCTACATTTTGACAAAGGAAATAGCCTAACTTACCATGAAATCCTCCTTCGTTGTCATTGAAGTTGAAGCTGAGCGCCTGTCAGCGTCGTGGATATCATGGGTTAAGTTTAATAGTTTAATAATTCTTTTTACCAATGTACAAAATAAAAATATATATACATATATAAAAGTACAATAGGTAAAGGAAAGCAATAGGGGGAAACTGAATTCCCATATAAAAACTGCCCTCCAAAACGAAAGGATAAAACAATTAAGAATAGAAGACTAATACATTACTATACTATGTGTCATTTATCCTTCGATTTTTCACGCAATGAACTGTCTTGTCATCCAGCGTGTCCAAATATGGCAACCCTGACAGGGACTTCAGGCATCATCAAAAGTCCATTTTACCCAGGATATTATGGTAATGGCCAGACATGCAGCTGGAAAATCACAGCAAGTAGCGGAAAACGCGTGAAGTTGGTCATTACAGACATGGACATAGAACTCGGTGGAAGTAANCTGCATTGTTTCGGCAATGTTTAGACCTTTTAAGCGAGGAGAGTTAATTCGATGCACTGATCATCCATTCAATGTTGCAGCTAAATTCAGAGACAAGGCGGGTTTTCCCTATGTAAACGGGATGGGTTGACGGAACTCACATTGCTTGTTAACCCACCAAATTACACGAAGACGCCTTCGTTAACTGTCATCTCACCAAATCTATGCCAATGAAGCCATGGCCGCATGCCCAGATTACACGATCTATTTCCGATCATAGTGTTATTCACAATATAAATCACTCGACTAAACGCCTAAATCCATCATTTGAAAACGATTCCACGGTGAAATGGAGAGCTCGTGTGTAAAAAAAATTTTTCTCTTATCCTGTAAATTGAATCATCGTTTATTATGTGCTCTTGTTAGTTATAAAAAAAAAAAACATAAGTGAGCTATAGGTTAAAAAAAAAAGTATACAAGAATTTCGTACAATTATTTATTGATTTATTCATTCTATTGAGACAGTGGGGTGTATCGCTCTTAAGGAACAATAATATATAGATTTAGCCAGGGCTAAGAGCGAAGCTCTCGATAATATTTATAGTTTGTTCAAACAAATTATAAAAGCGGCGAAGGCATGCAACGCCGGAAAACAGTGAAAAACAACAATAGGTCTAATTAGTAAAAGCAACTTTGCACGTGCAGCACACTTTTCTTGTACATTTCTTTGCCGTTGTTTTGCACGACTACAACGTGAAACGTCCAGAAACTTCTTAGTTACACGTTTTATGGAGGAAATGTCCTACGTGTTCCGTGGACATTTTTTCACGGCCGCTTATTTTCACCTCGCATTTCTCATTTTGTCACCGCCGCTACAAAATTTTCAAGTTGTTCTTCCAACAAAAAATGTCTCCTTCGGTTTTTTATCCCTCGCTCTAGAAACCTGTCGCCCTTTTTCTCGTTGAGCTTCGCTGGCCTGCCGCCCACTATCTCTTTTTCTCTGTCTTTCTCTAGCTCTATACTCCAAATTTGTGGACATGACAATTTATCTAAGCTTAATACTTTAGACAACACGGATAAAGAAACAATTTCCGCTTTCCGTTTATTTACTCTTTTGTTGTCTCTGCTTACAAGACGCCGGTGGCTATGCGATTTCCCGCCAAAATAACCTCGAGTAGCATTTGGGTTGCCATACCTGTTGATTGAGTTATTTACATTGGTATGCCTGTGGTGCGGACGGACGGTCTCTCGGGAGGGCGGTCGGTTGGTGTACTGTCACGTGATTACGGATGGGTTGATTACTTTATTTTCTTACCGATGGTGCTCCCCTGGCGCGCTTCGCGCGCGAGAGCTCCGCTATCACTGTAACACTGACCATTCCGCCCAAAACAAACTCAACTCATTTTTTTGTTATAGAACCAAACGCACCACCAGCTAATGTCCAAGGACACAACAAAAGCTCAACCAGTATTTGGGTAAACTGGGACACTGTTCCTGTGGCTTATCAAAATGGAATTGTTCTGACTTACACGGTGACGTACACGGCGTTCCCTGGCGGTATTCTACGGACGGCCATAGTGAAAGCTCCAACCACTCACGTCACACTTGGAAGTTTGGAGAAATACACAAACTATAGCATCTTGGTGTTTGCATCTACTGTGAAGGGAGACGGAAATGCCAGCGATCCAATCATTGTTACCACAGACCAGGACAGTAAGTTGCCAAAGTCCTTACGATACTTAACAATACTAAAAGAGGAATATGTGCTGTTGGTAGTTATAAAAAGGACAAAGTAGGTAAACGTTGAAACACAAAGTATACAAGATAGAATTTTGAACTCCTGACATTTTTTTCTTCAGACAGTAGAATGGATCGCTCTTTAGGAACAATATCACTCTACCCATTCCGCGCCAAACAAACCTGACTGAAGAGTTAGGTGTGCGAACCTTTTAAGAGCAATTGTCTGTAAGATTCGAACTATATTGAAAAGTCGCTGCCACGCTATCTCACCGAATTGGCTGAAAATTAGCATGTAAAGTTGGTTTTGGGTCTTAAATAAGAAATGAATATTTTTAGGTTCTGCAGAATAAATGTGATTGGAGAATTCTGTGTGTAAAAATATCGATTTATCAATGTGGGATTTTTCCTTACAGCACCAAGCGCACCACCAGCTAATGTCCGAGGACACAACACAAGCTCTACCAGTGTTTGGGTAGATTGGGACAATGTTCCTCTCGCTGATCAAAATGGAATTATACTGAGTTACACGGTAACGTACACGGCATTACCTAACGGCAGTCCAAAGACGGCCGTAGTGAGTGCTCCAACCACTCAAGCCAGCCTGAGTGGTCTGACGAAATACAGAAACTATAGCATTACTGTATTTGCCTCTAACGCACAGGGAGATGGAAAAATCAGCCTACCTATCATAGTCATCACAGACGAAGACGGTGAGTTGTTAAAGGGTGCTCGTGCATGGTTAGAAGCTTATTTCAGCTAGTAAAAAACAGTGTTTATAATTTTCGCAACTAACGTTATTGAAAGTCTGCAGGGGTCAGTTTAGTAAAGATTTTACAAGTCTAATTCGGTAAAAGTTTTACAAGTGTAATTTACAAGTCGGACCGTTGTTTTTACAAACCTAGGGGAAACGATTTTAATAAAGAAAGTTACTGGTACAAATAACAATTGTTCGACTTCGCTTGTAGTTACAAGAGTAGCTCTACACTTGTATAATACCGTAGGTATTTAATTTAACAAAGTTTTGCAGAAGTATAACTAGCTTATAGTATACAAGAGCTCAACTTGTAAATCACATGTTCAAGTTATGAGTCGCAAGTCACCTGAAAACATAGAGGAAGCGCATTGAAAAAATTGCAGAAACGTTGGTCTGTGTATTCCTCCAGTGAAGAAGAACTTGGTGAACTTTTAAGAGGTCGAATAGTTCGCCAACCACAAACTCTTGCAAAACGACGACTACTAGAAATCGAAATTCTAACGGAATTCCGACAGACGTTTCTTTTCCCTGTATAAGCCTTCATTAACGGGGCCGCTTGTTGATCATGGAACGAGGCACAACAGAGCTTTAACTGTACGATATAAATAAATATTAATATTTCTTCGATTTCTTGGAGCAAATTCAATCTATCATGTTACGCACTCATGCTGTGTGATGTCTCATTCTGCATTGTTTCGGCAATGTTTAGACCTTTTAAGCGAGGAGAGTTAATTCGATGCACTGATCATCCATTCAATGTTGCAGCTAAATTCAGAGACAAGGCGGGTTTTCCCTATGTAAACGGGATGGGTTGACGGAACTCACATTGCTTGTTAACCCACCAAATTACACGAAGACGCCTTCGTTAACTGTCATCTCACCAAATCTATGCCAATGAAGCCATGGCCGCATGCCCAGATTACACGATCTATTTCCGATCATAGTGTTATTCACAATATAAATCACTCGACTAAACGCCTAAATCCATCATTTGAAAACGATTCCACGGTGAAATGGAGAGCTCGTGTGTAAAAAAAATTTTTCTCTTATCCTGTAAATTGAATCATCGTTTATTATGTGCTCTTGTTAGTTATAAAAAAAAAAAACATAAGTGAGCTATAGGTTAAAAAAAAAAGTATACAAGAATTTCGTACAATTATTTATTGATTTATTCATTCTATTGAGACAGTGGGGTGTATCGCTCTTAAGGAACAATAATATATAGATTTAGCCAGGGCTAAGAGCGAAGCTCTCGATAATATTTATAGTTTGTTCAAACAAATTATAAAAGCGGCGAAGGCATGCAACGCCGGAAAACAGTGAAAAACAACAATAGGTCTAATTAGTAAAAGCAACTTTGCACGTGCAGCACACTTTTCTTGTACATTTCTTTGCCGTTGTTTTGCACGACTACAACGTGAAACGTCCAGAAACTTCTTAGTTACACGTTTTATGGAGGAAATGTCCTACGTGTTCCGTGGACATTTTTTCACGGCCGCTTATTTTCACCTCGCATTTCTCATTTTGTCACCGCCGCTACAAAATTTTCAAGTTGTTCTTCCAACAAAAAATGTCTCCTTCGGTTTTTTATCCCTCGCTCTAGAAACCTGTCGCCCTTTTTCTCGTTGAGCTTCGCTGGCCTGCCGCCCACTATCTCTTTTTCTCTGTCTTTCTCTAGCTCTATACTCCAAATTTGTGGACATGACAATTTATCTAAGCTTAATACTTTAGACAACACGGATAAAGAAACAATTTCCGCTTTCCGTTTATTTACTCTTTTGTTGTCTCTGCTTACAAGACGCCGGTGGCTATGCGATTTCCCGCCAAAATAACCTCGAGTAGCATTTGGGTTGCCATACCTGTTGATTGAGTTATTTACATTGGTATGCCTGTGGTGCGGACGGACGGTCTCTCGGGAGGGCGGTCGGTTGGTGTACTGTCACGTGATTACGGATGGGTTGATTACTTTATTTTCTTACCGATGGTGCTCCCCTGGCGCGCTTCGCGCGCGAGAGCTCCGCTATCACTGTAACACTGACCATTCCGCCCAAAACAAACTCAACTCATTTTTTTGTTATAGAACCAAACGCACCACCAGCTAATGTCCAAGGACACAACAAAAGCTCAACCAGTATTTGGGTAAACTGGGACACTGTTCCTGTGGCTTATCAAAATGGAATTGTTCTGACTTACACGGTGACGTACACGGCGTTCCCTGGCGGTATTCTACGGACGGCCATAGTGAAAGCTCCAACCACTCACGTCACACTTGGAAGTTTGGAGAAATACACAAACTATAGCATCTTGGTGTTTGCATCTACTGTGAAGGGAGACGGAAATGCCAGCGATCCAATCATTGTTACCACAGACCAGGACAGTAAGTTGCCAAAGTCCTTACGATACTTAACAATACTAAAAGAGGAATATGTGCTGTTGGTAGTTATAAAAAGGACAAAGTAGGTAAACGTTGAAACACAAAGTATACAAGATAGAATTTTGAACTCCTGACATTTTTTTCTTCAGACAGTAGAATGGATCGCTCTTTAGGAACAATATCACTCTACCCATTCCGCGCCAAACAAACCTGACTGAAGAGTTAGGTGTGCGAACCTTTTAAGAGCAATTGTCTGTAAGATTCGAACTATATTGAAAAGTCGCTGCCACGCTATCTCACCGAATTGGCTGAAAATTAGCATGTAAAGTTGGTTTTGGGTCTTAAATAAGAAATGAATATTTTTAGGTTCTAAATCTTCTTACTTTGAAAATTACCAACATGACCGTTTTGGGGAACCTTCGGCCCCGCGCCATATTGGTTAAATCGAAGGAGGTTTCACGAATCCAACTACAAGCCTGTCTTTGAAGCAATTCTATCGCTGATGAGATACATGTCAAAAACTATCCTTCCTTATTATAATTTTGAAGTTTACTCCGAACATAGCAGCGTTTTCGCCAAGACTGGCTCAACTTTCGGTCGTGCACACTTTTTGCATAATTTATGCTCTCAAAATTACCAACAATCCAAAGGCGTATATCTCCCTTGCCACACAGAATTGAAACTTGCTGCTTTGCCTAAATACTGACTGTTTGTAGCCAAATCGAATTCGTTAATAAAAAAATTGGGCAAATGCAACGCGACAGAAAGAAATTTATTAAATGGGCAGCATGTTCTAGTCGCTTTGCTAATTAAATTACACACAAATGCTCACTGATGTTGCCAAAAATAGTGATAAATAAAAGAATTTCTGTCCAAATCTGAATAAAAAGTAGATTAAAAATGGCCTCTTTAATGGCAGTGACAGAATTTCTGTCAGAAACACTGCAAAAAGGCGGATTTTATCAGCGGAATGGTAAACTATAAATATAAATGTGTTGCTTGTGCATTTACGGGTACCGTTCCCACGTGGGAACTAAATCGTAATTTTCCCAAAACTAAAACTTTTGAAAGATATCACAAAAGAGAAAAATTGAGACAAAATATATAGATGTACAATTTCCACATTCAGAGATATCTCAAAACGGCATTTTCTCTGCGAAACGTCGGTAGTCACGTTCAACTGAGTTTTGCATGGCGTTACAACTCCTGCTTTCGAGCAGCCGGAACAACAACACCTAACAACAACTGCTCGCAATTATCATGCTCAAATCAAAACCAGATAATTAGTTTTTGAAGATATTAAAGCTAAATAAAACCACTTGCCTTGTGGTGTGGGATGGGAATCAACTTTCCTTTAACTCTACCCTTCCTTTCCTATATTCTTGACGCTCCCGCTCTAAGAAATGAGCATCATTATTCAGGGTCTGAAATGAACATCACTATTTCCGGTTTTCACACATTGGGCGTGGCAAAGGTACAATTCTTTTGATCGTTCAACCCAAATCGTGGCTCGAAGTTTCTTATGAAAATGTTAGGATTTTCAGCAAGTCTCCAAAAAAAATATTTGTAATCATTTTGGACATTTATACTTAGTGAAAAATTGCATTACTTAACCTACAAAAGCAACGAAAAGAGTCTCGATTTTCTTGCGCCCCAAATTACTAATACCCTCCCCCCCCTCCTCCCAAGGACGACTCGGAGTAGGTCAACATCGATACATGAAAAAATGGAAATGTTTAAAAAAGGTCTGAAGTCATGTAACATAATTTGTGATGCTTTACCTTTTATTTTTAATCTTTGCAACGACACCTTTGTTTCCCGCACGTCATTGCGCTCTCTTTACTTTTACTTCACACACCCCTCCCCTACATATTTATGGCTCAGGAAGCCTCACTGAGCTAGGTAAATACCAGAGGTACTGAAATCTCCTCAACCCTGTCATAATCAATCAGTTACGGGTCGTTCGACGAAATACATATATCAATTGAGAAATCATAAACTACTTTTTTTCACTATGGATGGTAGCCTCATTCCTAACAAGTGGTTACTGCCATTACTTTCTAATTTTTCACCCTGAAATAGTCTGTTCCAGGCGTTCAGATTAGAGGGACGACACAGAGATGTAAGGACAAAAATCAGCCAAGGGCGCCCCTCTCACTGAACGCCTGAACCTTGTTATACACCTAAAGCTAAAGCTATGTTCACACTAGATACCTTTTGCGCCGACGCGATAAAAATATGGATAGGAATTTTGCTCACGCATTAGAACGGTGATTTCAGCGCGATTTATGTAACGGAGCGAAGCGCTTTGCTGCACCAAATTATAAAGTGGAGTGTCACATATCGGATAGGTACTCATACTTTTCCAGATAGCTTTTCGTATCAGTATGAAGAGACACTCGGTATAGTGTGAACATAAATAGCCTAAGAAAAGTACAGACAAGACAGCACGAACCGATTCTCGGCAGGGCCTTCTCACCAGTCTCCCCTCAACTAACCTTTTTTTTCGCTTTTTTTTCTCGCGAGATAAAGGATTATTAAAAAGGGATTCAAGGTAGCCTCTAGGGGCTCTGGTTTAAAGTGATGGTTTTCATTCATTCAAAAAATGTATCAATAATCGTTCAGATTCCTAGGTTCAAAAAGTTAAAAATTTTTGAATAACTTTTCGAAGGGTTTTAAAGTATGAAAATTGCGGGAGGAGGTGTTAAACATTTCTGGAAAATTGGAAAATACTGGATTTGAGGGTTGTTGAGATATGAAGTGAATAATAAGAAGACAAATGCCAGATAGCCCACCACTACAACAAGGTGCCTCTGAGCCTACTAGGGAACTAACTGGCAAATGTATATACCTTTATCACCCCCACCCCCCCCTCCAAAAAAAAAACAAGAGAAAAACAAAAAAACAGGAGTACTCCCTTGAGTCCAAGCTTATTGTAACCTCATTGTACAACTTACATGTAAAGGGACTGCTATGCTTTGACTTAATCACATTTGTGGAGATTTGATACAATTTGTCATTCAAGAGGACCAACACGAGCAATTCTTAACTAATTTGGTCAAAGCATCTACAAAAGGGGCTTTCTTCCGTTCCTCAGGAAGATTCAGCTCAAAAGCGCTACAGATTTCCTTCAGCTTCGGTAATGTGAGTTTCTTTAGTTTCCCTGAAGCTACAAGATCACACAAGTTGTGGACATCATACATGATTGGATGTCTGGGCTGCACTTGCTCTATTACATCTCTCCGAAAGTCTTCAAGTTCTTCTTCCACTTGGACAGCTTCCTGATTTTCTGGGTCATTTTCGGAAAATCTCCCACATCTTGCCCTTCTAGAGAAAAAACTTTGAATCTGGGTCGCGGTCAATACTTCTGAAGAAGAAAAAAGTCTCTCTCCGTTACCATCTTGGCGAGCAGTTTTCATTTCTCTGGCTACAGTTACAGGGTCCAACTTTCTTCCCGTCGTTTCGCCAACCATGAACTTTTCTTCTAGGAATTTTTTCTGTTTGTCACTGAAAGGTTTGTTTTTCTTGATCGATTTCAGTGCCCAGCCTTCTTCTTCGTTCTGGTGTAAGCCGCTTGATGTTGCTTGATTGCAATGGACGTTTGCTGTAGCTGAAATACGACCATCACTGAGCCAAAGCTTTTTACTGTACAAGACCTTTGCAGTGTCCATCACAGATTCTCTTTCTTCTTTGAAATCGCATTTTCCGTAGGTAACATGATTGACCATAGATCCGTAACGGGTATAGACACGAACGCACCCTTCGTTTGGACAAGAAAACAATCTCCCAGAGGCGGTCCCCTCAGTCTCCTCTTCATCTTCTTCACTGTCGACCTCGGCTAACGTCTCCTGCTGAACTTCGTGTTTCTTTTTTCGGGTTTTTATAGGGCGAAAGTCTCCATTTGAAAACGTGGCATTCGTCATTGAACTGATAGGATATTCCGTTCCTAAAGCATAAAATAGTTAATATCAAACAGTGCCCACTGCAATAAAAAAGGCCAAACACCAATTTTCAAACGATTGAAGCAGTCTTTTTTGGGGGGGGGGAGGGGGGGTGTGGAGGAGAGTAGCATTAGGGGAGAGGGAGAGTTAGTGAGAGAGATAGATAGAGAGGATAGAGAGGATAAAAAGTACCTTCAAATTCTGACCAAGGGAAAAACTTTCCTTCGCCAACTTGATAAGCTCGCCATACCCTCACTCCATCACTGCTAAACTCAAAATTGTTCAGCTTGCTGATTCCTGGCCACTTTACATTGGTTTTGTTAGAGCTGTTGCCTTGTACCAGGGACACGCGGGCTCCAGACACTCCACCTCGTGAGGTAAGTGCAGAAAGAAATTGCTCTGCTGTAAGGACGTCGTTACCTTCGTTAACAAAAGAGCGTACATGGTTTTTCATTGTTGCTGCAAAACGGTCACAAGCGCCCTTTCCTCCTTGTGGATCGGAGAAGTCTAATTGTTGAATGAAGATTCCCGATCGCTGGCTGATGTCTTTACAGGCAAGGATGGTGTTGGCTGCATGGTAGCAGCCTGCATTGTCTTGGCGATAAAAGGCGCTTTTGATCTCAGGGTGTTCCCTCTTGAGAGTAGAAAGAACATGTTCCATTAACTGGACAACACAAGGGCTGTCCTGGATACACTTCTCAACTACATGCACGAACGCCTGTGTTTCAAGTTCACTCTCTTTCTTTCTGATCGCTACAGTGATGTGCCAGGAGATCCCTTTTTTCGCAAACCATTCTCCTTGGGATTCTCGGTACTGACGAGGGAGAAATTTCATAGCCCAGTCTTGTACAAGGAGCACTTTGCTGTCATCGAGGCATTCAATAACGTCTGTACGGGCATTATCCTGATTAACAAGTCTGAGCTGGTGTGACTTCCAGAGCTGAATTGCTCGAGTTGCTTCTTGAAATCTGTGAAGAGCATTCTCCTTATCATACTGGCACTCGAAGCAGGATTCCTGAATTGCCTTTTGGGTGTCGGACAGAACAGCTTTAAGGTCTTCACAGCGATTGCATATCAGGTCATGATCTTGAGTGCAGGTACCTCTAAAAGCAGGATCTTTACTGTCACTTAGTGCGTATTGGCTACCGTGATCTGACACGCGCGAAGAGCTGGAAACGTGAACCTATTGTAGAAGCAAGATAGTCTCAGAGCAAGATTACGCGAGACCATGCTATTCTGGTGAATATACATAAAATATGACAGAGACACTAAACAATGACGAAAATGTTATTTTTGACAGAGCATCATTTGACAGATCGGATTGGCAAATAATTTGCCATAAAAAAAAAACCTTTTCCCCACTGTATCACTCCCACTCGTCATTATAAACAGTGTGCTTTAAAGTACACTCTTCTTCAAATCAGGAGCGCCGAAAGACATGGTAGATTGTGTAGGTAGAAAAATATCCATACCCTCAGGGAGGGCACTTTTGTTTTAGACCCCCACCCCCTGGAATCTCTATTTCAGGGGGTGTTTGTCATACCCCCTTCTCTTAAAAGAATGAACTTCAATATTACTTCTTTTCAGTTAAAAACGAGTTAGAAGAAAGCTTAATACAACATGACCACATTATATTGAATAGCGCAATATACTGTGCAACAAAGCAACCCATAGATAACCAGACGTCTATTCACGAGCCGACGACAATTGTTATATAAAATCGTGTAAGCTGTAAAAAATCACTCAGCCGACTGCAAATAAAAGATCATCGATGAAAAAAAAAAATTGCTTTGGAACACCGATTGAGAGTAAAATAACTAATAGCTTGCCACCCCCACCCCCTCAAAAGTTGCTATCTTATGGACCCAACTCCCTTCCGAATTTCCGTTGCCCTCCGTGGGGGAGGGGGGGGGGGTATGGACATTTTCTGGAATTACACATTTAATAATTACATTACCATAGGTTCTTACTTTGAAATCCCTTTTAACGTAATTCTTTCCCTCCTTTTACTTCATCTGTAGGTTTTGCGCTGTACTTGCGTCAAACCCACTGTCAACAAGGTTCCCAATGAGTTGTTCCAAGTCATCAAAGGCCTTGCTACCCTCACAAACAAAGTAATCGAGACCTTGTAACGACTTTCGCGTAGAAGCCTGACAGGAGGATAAAATGCGTCGTAATGTGCTGTGGCTTAGAGGTTTCACCTCTGTTTCGTTGCAATACTGTACGTATTGGTCAATGATGTGTCCGCTGACCGATACTCTGATAACATTCGGTGTCGGCACTACTTCTCCAGTCGACAATTTCAGAAACCGTTCACCGAATGGTAAATCCTGCACGATGTAGGGACTGGTAATAAAATCCAAGAAGTGATCCAACTGGTTAAGATCGATTCTCCATCTCGGGTTTTGTTTTGCAATTACAGGAGCTCCTCGCCCAGAAACTAAAATATGTTGTCTTGCTTGACAAAACATATATTTTGTTAGGCCTGGAATGTAATTGCGTATTTCTTGCAACGTGGTGATATCCGCCATTATA